GATAGATAGATAGATAGATAGATAGATAGATTGATTGATTGATTGATAGATTGATTGTTGGTAGACAAAGTCCAAACCAGTTTATGTTTGAGAAAAAAACCTTTTACTCTCTTCCAATATTTCTTATGGGTTTTAAGTTCAACCAGATGTGAGGGATTCTCATAGCTTGTTAAGGTTTTGTTATCCTGGACATGGAGTTTGGTGTCTTCAGACTTTTTTGAGAGTTGTTCCTCAATATTTAGTTGTCTGTCCATCACCACACACCTGGAACTGGGTGGTGATGCTTGATTCTGTTCAGAGAGACTAACCTGGTAATCTTTTGTGGGACAGGGGTGGGTCCAAATTGGGCTTCATTAAGGAGGAATCAACTGTAAAACCTGAATGTTCTGATAAGCTACTCCGTATTTTCTCTTTTTGATCACTTGAATGAGATGAATGTTAAGATTGAAAAGGTAGAGTCACAACAACAGGATTAAATGTTACATTTTTAGACTTTTTCTTTATTTTCACCACCTTTTTGGTGGGACTAATAGTCATTTTTCTTCCCTTCTTAAGTGGACTGGTCAGTATTTTCTCTTGTTGATTATCACAATCAGTTGGCTGTTGATCATTAGTCGTCGCACTGGTCATTGATTGATATTTCAGGTCAGAGGTCTCAGATGAGAATGGGGATGTCATAATAGGTGATTCTATAAACCTGACTGAATCACTCAGTAAACAGTATTTTACTGAAGACATTTAACTGCTCTCTCTGCATTTCTAGATGGAATTTTAAATATAACTGGAAGTTAAATTCTGAAATAAAAGAAGTTTGATTTTAATAAATGAAATAATCATTAGAAGAACTACAGATCTAGAAACAATGTATAGTAACCTGTGCCATTTTGGTTGCAGAATAAAAATTTGGTTCTTTAAAACACTAATAGGGAGAATCTGGCCAAAGATTGAGGCCATTTATTTGCTGAATAAAGGATAATTATTTATTCATTATTAATAAACAGTTTTAATTCCTTGCGAACACTTACAAGTTGCAATGTGAACTGCACAGTCTGAAAGGAGTAGGTATTAGCAAATACTTCAGAGTATGATGCATATCGCGATTTTTTGGTCAAGATACAATATTTTAAAGGAGGTACAATAAAAACAAAATGCATTTAAAAACAATCATGCACTGCGGTGTCTCCGACTGCTCTCCTTTATTGGTGGAGGGAAGAATATGTCCCATTTTAATTTATATCGTCCACCTTCAATCAAAGTGCCCTCCACAGGTGCAAATGGGACTTCATTGGGAGTGACAGTGGACAGCAGGGTTGCCGTAATGTGGGGATAAAGTCAGGAAGCTTCTGAGGGCCCTTGACTAAGGGGGGCCCGAAAAGAAGAAGAAAAGATATGTCCCGCTATATCTTTCAAATATAAAAAGAAAATCCAGCAGTAAAATAAATTATATTTCTGTCCTCCCTAATTTTTCAACAGTAAATAACAAAACGAAGCATGAATATATTGACCAACTCCAACCCCTCCCACTGTGAAACTGCAATAAATGGTTTGGTCCTCAGGTCCTGCATGGTGCAGGATCAGGTCACCCCGTCTGCATTTGGTCAGCAGCAGTTCGCTGGTACCGGGGCTTTAATGCCACAGCGTCCTTTAACACAGAGAAAAACAAAAAAAAAAATGAACAAAAAAAAAACTCAAAATAAAAAAAAAAAAAAAAAAAAAAAAAAAAAGAAAGGAAGGAGAAAGAAGAGAGATGAAAGAAAGGCACCCAAAACCGTGACCAATTTTTCAAGAAAGGTTTGTTACCTCAATAGTTGAAAATAAGGATTGATTATTAACCTGTTATAATAATCTATGCCTATTATTAAGCTGTTGGGCTGCTCAGTGGTGCAGCAGTAGCACTGCTGCCTTGCAGCAAGAAGGTTCTCGGTTTGATTCCTGGTCCGGGGTCTTTCTGCATGGAGTTTGCATGTTGCGTTGGTTCTCTCCGGGTACTCCGTCTTCCTCCCACAGTCCAAAAACATGACTGTTAGCTTAACTGGCTTCTCTAAATTCTCCATAGATGTGTGTGAATGGTTGTTTGTCTCTGTGTTGCCCTGCAATGGAATGGCGACCTGTCCAGGGTGTACCCCGCCTCTGGTCCGTAGACATCTGGAGAAAGGCACCAGCACCCCTCGTGACCCCAGTAGGGAAAGGCGTGACAGAAAATGGAATGGGTGGATATTAACCTGGCTATCTGCTGGTTGCTACTACTTATTTAATCCTCCTCAAGGTCTGAGGGGAGTCACATCATTAAATCAGTTTAATAATTTTATAAGAGACATTCCTAACATACACCCGAGCACCACTTTATACCTCAAATTATGTATTTGTTTTTTGCAAAGACTCAAGAAGTCTTAGAGATTATGCCTTACAGTAAAATAATGGCTCTAAACGTTTGCTGCAGATTGGTCGGTTGGACTTCTCTCATGATCAGGATAAGATTACAGTGACATGTCATAGTGACTTTGTGACATGGTTTGTTATCTTCCTGGAAGCAGCCATCAGGAGTTGCTCAGGAAGGCTGTGCCTTTTAATCCTAAAAGGCCCAAAGTATGTCAGGAAAACCTCTCCCACACATTCAGAGCTCCACCATCAGCCTGATCTGTCCCTTCAGGTTGTTTGTGCCAGAATCTGATCCATCTGTTTTAGACAGATTGGAAATTCTCAACCTAACACTTTGTTTCAGTCTGTTATGGTTCAATCAGGCCAATCTGTTGGAGCTGTTCAACAGTTTGCTGTTGCCAAAAGAAGTGTTTGATGCTGTAGCACATTCACTTCTAAGGGGAGATATTTCAAACACCTTGACGGTATTCATTGATTATTTTTAACTACTGCTTTGTAATACTAAACCTAACTGCACTCTCTTCTCTGACATTTGTTTTCTCTCGCCTGGTAGCAATCTCTATACATATTCAATGCAGTTTTAAAATGTGAATTCATACATTTAAATCTAACTGGGGACATGTTGTAAAAACCACACAAGATGGTGCAAATGAGCTATTTAAAATAGAAGTATTATACAGAAGTGTGTTTCAAGTCTGGAGAAGGATTAAATCTAATTTAGGATTAATCCAGTAGCATTTATTTTGATTAAGTTTTCAATGTGATCTGCTTAGTCACTTGATTGTGATTACTTTCATCACATTTGATCAATAAAGCAGGAGGTCTGCTCCTTCCAGAGTGTTTAAAATCCTGCAACGGGTTTAAATGTAAATATTCGGTAAATGTTTCGTTCCTTCTATTAAAATCACCACAGCAGTCATTACAGCTTTGCAGACAGACTGTATAAACTGGAGCAGCTGGGAGTTGAACCCGGGTCCCCTGAATCAAAGACAAGAATGAATGCGTCTCCTCCTCTAGCTGCTCAGTTTTATACCTCTGAGCTTGAATCAGCAATATTCATTTTATTGAAATCTGTTTAGGATTTACTGATTCCCACTTAATTATACTGACACCAAATTGAAAGGTCAGTTTCACAATAGAAGATCTTTAGCCTTTTTAGTATTTCAGAACTGATTTATTCACCCCCCTTCCCCAACATTTAAAAATATTTACCAAACATAAGCAGACAAGACTGTTTCCTTGCAGGACCTCTGTACATTCTGTACCATGATACCATAAATAAAAATCTATAAACATAGTTTACATAAAAAAAAAAAATATCCATCTTCAAGAACCATTAAAGACAACAAAAATAATCAGTATACAGTTTTTACAAAGATTCAGCTTTATACTGTTTATCCTTTACAGCCCAGTGAAAAATCTTTACAGATACCCCCCAAAAAATGTATTTTAATTTGGAGTAGGATCATTTAAATGAAGAGAATACAATGAAATATTTTACATCTCAGCAAACTGCAATCAAGACCTTCATCCTGTGATGAAGCAACTTTTAAAAAAACAAAAAAAAATATGAAGAAAATGAAACGATCAGAAGTCTTCCATCATAAAATTTGGGGTCCAATTGCACATTTAAAGTGCTGTAATTAAAAATCCCTGTTTTGTTAAATACGGTTTGTTTAAATGGGTAGAAATGTTAAACACGGCCTGATAAAATGCCCTTGCATTGTCCACGCTGTCTGAAATCTCAATTTACTCTTTAATCAATATAATTAAGAATCACAGAGCTAAGAACTGATTCTGAATAGGTGAAATCACCCCAAGTCTGGAGTTCATATAATGTGTGTTTTTTATAATAGTTTGTAGAAATAAAGGTATTTTTCAATGAAGTCAAACTGAGGATGAAGTGAAGTGAATACGGAATTACTTGTTGGTTCCGTTTGAACTTTAAACAGTGATTATAGGCAGGTCATTTCAAATTAAGGATAAAAGAGCCAATTTGATTAAAGTATTAATTGATTCTCAATGCTTTTAATTGTATATTGTAAGACTATCCTTTGATTTTTACAGAACTGGGATTTCATGAATCCTATAATCACCATTGAAGGACTGCCTAAAGTTTTAAACTCTCAAATCAATAGAAAACAGCTAAAAATGCACCTTTTCATGTTTTTTAAGCCTGAAGCTTTTAAATGAAAATAAAAATTTGTGGGATAAAAAGTGACAGGAACATTCAAAGATCAGAAATCAAACCGTTAGCTTCAGTGAAAGTCAAACATAATAGAGACTAAGCATCCTGGGGAAGACTGCTGCTGACAGCCTTCTGATAGTTATGATTTATTCAGATACACCTTTACAGATTCATTTAATAAAGTAAAAGTATTTTGTTTATTGCACGCCAAGTCATTCAGGAGATGTTTTCATCAATGCTTTCTGCACAGAGCCCAACAGTCAGCTCTCTTTACATTCTGTTATTCCTAGATGTGCAAACTTGATGCTGTGTAGAGCAGCTTTAGTGAAGTGCCTGATACAAGAGGATAAATCAAATTGTTGGGAAATTCCAATAACGCGCATATATATATATATATATATATATATATATATGAACATTTTGTTTATTTGTATAACTAAAACAAATCTCCAAAGCTTGCAGAAAACTTCCTCTGTGATCCATTGACTTGCTCCATTATTACATCGGGACAGCAGGTCCTAAACTCCCTGCCGAACAGAACATATCTGAGAGGTCACTGACCTTTGGTTTTGGTCTCACTCTTCGCTTAAAGCTGTAAATATTCTGTATTCTCAAAGATCCCCTTTTGAGAAGCAGGTTTGTTTATTTTTAAAAGTAGCTTAAACTCTTCTGGTTGTGGGAATATTTACAGGAGTCAATTTTTGCCTAGAAGAAATGAAACAAACTAAACTACCTCACTTAAGGTATTTCCCTTCATCAGGCACTTTTAGGATTAAAGACCTCTGATGTTGGAGGCATAAGATTTGCTTCCCGCAAACGAGGCCTGCATCTTGCTCCAAAACATCTTTGTTAAAGATGCGACAGATATGCTTTCCACTAAATGCTCAGTCTTCACATTAATGATAAAATACTTTTGAACAATTCTTAAACATACAGGAGGACAGATCCTAAAGGTGTGCCCATACACAACTTGTATTCAAAAGATGGAGAACTTAAAGTAAACCACAAAAACATGTCCGGAAGGAACAGAAACTAAAACATCCGTTTTTAAGTTACAAATTGACTGGAATTCAGGACACAATTCCAGTCAGCTGATTTAGCAGGAATTGGGGAGACAGAAGAGAAAATAATCCACTTTAAAACCAGCAAACCAAAACCCGTTTTAAGCTCAAACACCCTAAATGTTCATGTATTTTTAGAGAAACTTGCTCCAAATTGCTGTGATCACTAACCAGGATGGTCCTGGATTATGCATGGATTATTTCAGAACTTCAATGAGGCTCATCTTACATCATAATCAAAGTCTGATCTCCTGCTGAGTCGATTGAATTGATGAGAATCTAAAACGTAAACAGGTTCATTTTTTTAAGCTTTATTCTCGGATTCTCCCAATAAAACTATTGGGTCAGATAAAAAAAAAAAAAAAAAAAAAAAATGCCCATAAACCTAAAAAGTAAACCAATAATATGGTGTTGGTTTGTTACAAATGCAACATGGTGGACTTTGGATCCCGACACAACAATCAATCAGCCAGGGGGTCAGTTTGGTCCTGGATCCGATCTGCAGTCCAAATACTGACCAATTGGATTTTCTGTCGTTACACATGAAAATGCATCAAAACTAAGCGGTCTCGCCTCTTTCAGTCCATAAACTCATCACCCAGCAGCAGATATTGTTGTGGTATACTTTTTGAATTTAACAAAAAACAGAGGTGAGACACATTATGCTTTGATGTATATGGTAGGATAATCTCCTAAATTCCTCACTTTCCATTTACGTGCAAAGCAAAATCATAGATCTAGACTTGAGAATTTCTCAAAGTGGAATTAGTAGGTGATTGTATCGGCCAGGGAAAGCCTTACTGGTGCGTCTTCTGCTTATGGAAGAAATATTCACCATTTCAACCCTAAACTACTGTTGAACGTTTCTGTGTCTGTATAGTGTGGCTCAACCGCCCCTCAAAATGTCTGAAGTGGCCGATTATGTTTGCGACAGTTATTAACATCATAATAAATAAAATAAAAAATCAGCAGGGAGGCTGTAAAAACAAAAACAATGTGTAGACATGGAGGGACGTAGGAGGGCAAACATCTCTGGCACGCCACAGGTGGCTCGTCACATCTGGATTATCCTCCACAAACAGCACTTGCCTTCAGTGTCATTCTGGAGCAGGTTTAAAGAAAAAAGAAAAAAACTCTGCTGGTGTCACCACGATGAGAACCACACCCTCCATTAAACCACAAATTGGTGGTTGCCGCTGTGGTTTGCCGTGTAGGCCTGTCCGCTGTACTGGAAGTGATCAGTCAGCACGGGATTCCAGCTGTGCTGCTGTTCTGAGCTGTAGGAGTACGGCCCGGATCCGTTTGCCTGGGTCCTCTCTAGCATCGGGTTGTCAAAAGACAGCAGGTCCTGCGTGCTGGTTGGCAGCTTCTTCTTCTGCTTGTTGGCGTCATATTTAGCCTGATGAGGAGGATGAGATAGGAAGGTTTGAGTAAAGCCATCAGTGGTAAACAGATAAACAGATTTAAAGAAAACCCATCGAAGTCTACAGAAAATTAGGCAAAATGAGACATGTTTAGACATTTTAAGGATATAAATTCTAACCTCATTTAAAATTTTATTGACATCTTTCTTTTAGGGTTGAATTGACTTACCTTGTTGTAGAGGAAGACCCCAAGAATAGCTGTCATCATTCCCAGGACATTGGTGAGGGTGACTGGGTTGCGCAACATGAACAGAGATATACTGATGACCATGATCCTCTTGGTAGCGTTGGCAACTGCATAGCTGAGAGGGCTGACGAGGTTCAGGATACTAAAAGCGATGACGTTCTGTGCAAAATTACAGAAGCCGCTGATGAGGAGGAGGAAAAAGGTGCCTGCCCATCCTGAAATCTCCGACTGAAATGGAAGCAGATGTGTTCGACTCAGTTCACAGTCAAAACCGCTTTAGGTTCATGATTACCTGCAAGTGGTGCAACTACAAATCTAACATTGGTACCCACCAGATCCCCACTGACAAGAAACACAGAGAAGTCCACCAGAACCCAGGTGGGCAGCATGAAGAACATGGCGTTAAAGCCCAGGATGTTCAGAAGCCTCAGGTGATGCACGCCTGTGTCACGCAGCACCTTTAACAGAGAGGAGGGGAAATGACTTTAAAACAAGACAAACAGGACTGATTACAATACTAAACATGTTCCTGTTAAATAAAGCTTCAAAAAAACAAGTCACAATCTTCTCACTCATTTGGAGGAAAGTCATGATCATGAGGTGACTTACCTTTTTGGAGAAGATGTTCTGCAGAGAGAAGCAGAGTGTTGCAGCGAGGGCGCTGATCAACCCTGACACATCAAAGGAGAGCTCGGTCATGGTGGCCAGCAGAACCCCACCGATGATCGGGATGAGCGACACATACACCTACAAAACAGGATCAGGAAATAAAGACCACTTCCCGCACTGACTCATGGCGCATTTCCCACTGCAGGTTCTCTATTTTCAGCACAGACTGATCTCTAAACTACTGCAGTAGTTTATGATTAAAAAATAACGCTTCTGATAATGAAGTTTTAGATATTATTTTCAGTTAGATAGCCTTTAAAATAGAAAAATGCTACTTTCACTGATCTAGGCCATAGAAAATATGTATCTGCAAATAAAGTAATACTTGATTTGGATTTAGAAAAACTGTATGGAGAGTGAAAATACAAAAAAAAAAAGGAATTTATATGATAATTGATTCAGAATAGGAAAATTAATGTCGTATGTATGTATATACAAATATATACATCCACAGGGGACTGCGGCTCACTGGCTTAAAGTATCGTTATAAATCTGAGATTCATTTGCATGCTTCTTAGAATAGGTTTTGAAATACATGACTCACACTGCTAAACTAAACTCTCTTTGAGACTAAGAAAAACGCCGTTCTAAGAAACCCAAATCCCCAAAACATAGAAGATAAAACACTAACGTCTAAGGAGGGATCTAAAGTGACTGATGCAGAGCAGAATTTTAAGTCACCAAATCATGCTGAGTGACTGAAAAGGCAAAGACTAACATGGATGGTTGGGTTCTTCATGTAATCCTGTTTATTAGATTAAATCTGTAAATGTTTGGACCAACTATTGGAAACTTCAAATCCTAAAGGCTCATTTTACAGTTGATGTACCCGTTCTGTCTCAGAACTGAATCGCGAAGTAAATATAACACGCTGGTGCCAGACACACAAGTCTGTCTAACGTTTAGCCAGCATGACTGTTCCTTCATCAAAACCAAGGAAGACCTCAGAGGTTCTAAATAAGTGAATGTCTGTCGCCACGAGCAATATCAAATCTTCAACATTAAAAAGCTAACAAAGTTTAAGCCAGCCCTCTTTAATAGGACATAACCAAAGACAGAGAGTTTTGTTATAATATAAACAAAAAAAAAAAGTGTTATGCCAGTGGCTCACGTTGTTATTCCCAATACTATAAAATATTCCCTCATTCACCAATGTTGATGTTCTTTAGAAAACTCTCCTTAATTTACTGTAATCTCTTCTTGGTGAAATATGGAAGCCTAAACTTTGTTTCAGGAAGTGCAACTTTTTAGCCTGACAGGCTGCACTGATTTGCGTCATGAATCAGTCTATAAAAAAGCTGGTAGAGCCTGATTTAAAAGGCAGTTAACGTACAGGAGAAAGATGTGATGCAAAAAATTCTCTTTGAAAAAGACAAATAATAATAATAATAATAATAATAATAACTAACAGCAGACAGTTGTTCATATCTTAAAGACATATCTAGCTCCTGTGGGAAATAATAAATAATATCATTTAAACGTCACTGCAGCCAGAATCTTGACTGATTACAGAGAAATGCTGTAATGGGCAATTCTGATGGAAGTAGAAACCCCCACCTCTCGCTCTGTGATTGTGTTGGCCTGGCTAAACCCTTCTAAATCCAAGTTTAATCGAAGAGGCAGACATTAAAAAAAGGGGGGCTGATTATGTTGAAAGTTTTTATTGTTGTAAACACTCCAAACTCTAGATTTAGTATACGCTGTCAGAGGAACAGAACATCTACACCATAGTGTTACTTCACGGATCACCACTTTTCACCAGACAAGGACTCCCACAGACACTTTATAGCTTTTTGTTGTGTCATGTCAGAAAAATAAGTACACAAAGAAATTATCACCCCACACCAAAACAACCTCTCTTAATGAAAAAAGACAGGAACCCCACGACCGTTTAGCTGGTCTCTAGTCCACAGTGCTGCACAGAAATCGCTCATCTTCCTCCTTTTTAAGGAGAGGGATGACATTTGAAAAATCTAAACATTTTTTGTATGCCATATATTCTTTAGTGAAGAGCACTTAAACTAAACGTAAGCTAAAGTCTGTAGGAGCCAGAGGGCCTTTAATATGGAAGGAATCAGTTTCCTACGACTTTGTTAAAGGAATAAGGAAAACACTTAGCAAAACACTCACATACTGCTTCAACATTGGGCTAAAGAACACCATCAAAATGAAAAAGTCCTCCCGAATCTGAAAAGGCAGTCAGTGAATTAAGGTTTGATTGTGATGAACAAAGGGTGGATGAAGATATTGCATTTATAATGACTTCTCTCTGTGAATTTGCCGATTCCTTCCACGGTACTCCGCTTGCTCCCACAGTCAAAGATAACTCTCAACACACTAAGGTGTGTGTTTGGGGGGTAGCATGGTTGGTTTTCTCATGCATCTCTGTGATGGACTGAAGACCTGACCAGGCTCTTTATCATATCTCACCCAGTGACTGCTAGGGACATATGCCAGAACCCCCCCCAAAAAAACAAGAAAAACAGAGTCCACTATAAAACAAACCAGATTGCAGAGTTTACTAGTTATCAGTTCAAAGGAACTACTTTAAAAGGAAAGGATGTCTTCAAGAAACCCCCAAACTTCCTGGGTTTAAGCCAGCGTGGAGGATGCTCCACAGACCCCACTGATTTTAATATCAGCTCTCTCTTTGACTACAGAGATTCCTCCACATCTACACGATTTCTGTTAATATTATGAACCATCATTGATGAGGCCAGTCTGCTATTAATTACCAAACTACTGGTTCATTTTAATCCAATTTGTTCAGTCTTTACATGTGTTCATTATTCCCTCATAGAATCAGTCTATGTAAAACATCCTACATGGCAGTCATAGATTGATCAGTGGAATGCAGGAGGTGATGTGGCTGAAAAGTCTTTGCTCGCTGACCCCTGACCCTCTAAAGAGTGCAAGCGACGGAAACTTTGGTGGGCGGCTGTAATATGAGATGCAGCAGAAGCACAGCAGGCCAACTGCGCCACATCACCACTGCTCGGCCTCAGCCTGAAACAGAGCGGGATCTGTGCTTGAAATGCTCTGAACCGACTCACCCTTGTAGTTTGCTTCTCCCTCATTATAATTCTTGATAACAGCACCACCCATATTGGCATTGTGGCTTTTACTGCGAAAGAGACAGAAGAAAGGGAGCGTGTCAGTTTTAAAACAACAAGATCCGTGATGATACCTAGTAGACACAGAGAACCATTTAAAGGGCTATAATATGTTAATGGAGGTCAGAACTGGGTCCACGCCTCTGTCAAATAATACACGCCGTCATTCAGGGATTTACATGTCTAAACAGTGGTGCGTCATTTCTACGCAGAGTGATTTATAAATGAATCAGCTGCATCCTAAGCAATGCTGAAGAACTAGCTTTACGACATTTGATAATTATTACAACAAGTTTAAAGGACTTTATGTACAAAGAAACTCAAATGCAGCATTTTATATCGACCAGCCAAAACAGAAAAATACAGTCAATGGAAATTATAAATGCACAAATTATTTAGCCAGAAATAATAAAAAAATTTAAATAAAAAACACTGATAAGTGTTTTCCTTATACCTTAGTCAAATATATCATGCGTCTCAGTCAAGAACACATGCTTTCACGCACCATCAGTGATAATCTTGTGTAATCTCATTTTTAAATGAAACACTACTTAGTTAAAGGATCTGCATTTTTTTTTTAAAGAATGAACATATTTATTTACTTCATCATTTGGACATAGGTGAGCTCCAAATGGTGAAGATTAAATTGACCTACAACCGCTAAGGAATCATGGAAGGATTAAAAGTAGGAGACGATCTAATGACTTGTATTCATCCTCCAAAAATAAAAATAAAATGATACTCACAAACACACCTTTGTTTTCATGACATATGGGGACATTTAATTGATTTCCATTCATTTTATATGGCCTAACCCTAAACTAAACTGAATTTACACGTATAATCCTAAACCTAACCCCATCCCAAAAGAAAAGAACTTTACCATATGAGGACCAGCTGAATGTCCCCATATGTACCTGCAAGTCCCTGAATGTAGGAATTTTTATTTAAAAACTTCCTCCACGTTGTAGGTAAAAGAAGACTACACACACAACTTTAGAGATGAAGCATCTCTAAAAGCACTACTTTGAGGTCTTAATATACACGTGGAACTGTGTCAGTATTGCTATTTTTTTTCCACCGCTGTTTAAAGAAGTTGTAGTTTTGCTTCCTAAAAATGCATCTTAAAGCAGGATCATTGGTAAGTGATTTATTGCTTGGAAAACTTAAACAGAGTTGTGTTTTGAATGTTTAACAATGTGTTTCAGGAGCTGCTCCAGTATCAGTGTGGGAAACATCCATATGACAAAGGAGAACGGCAGACTTTTTCCCAGCTGTCACTCTACTAGAATATTTCTATAAATCAGTCAGATGGACACTACCAAAACACTAATGGCCTCAGTAAATTAGAATATAAAAAGGGTTATAGCAGCAGCAAAATTGTAATATCTGAAATTCAATATTTGGCTGTTTTTAAGAGAGTGCTATTATTTTCAAAATAATTTCTGTCCGTTTTTAACACTATAGCTTGGAGCAAATACAACTACGGACTCAGTTTCTTAGAAAAACATCAGTTACAGAGGAGCAAATATGCAACAACATAGATAAAAGAAAATAAAAAAAATCACTAGAAAGAGTTCTGACATTATAGCCATCAATGGGGGACAAATTTAGGTTCATTGCCATAAATACAACAGAGGCTATATTACAGCAAAAAGAGCAGAATAAACTGATTAGACACATTCCTTGAAAATATCAAAACATCAATGTAAAAAAAAAAACTGCTGTTCATCGAGTGCTTTACCCAACTAAATAAGTGAAAAATGTATGCTGAGAGAAAAAAGAAGCAGAAGAACCAACAGCAACAACTATGTCCACAATATGTGTTGTGCCACTCCTCAACCTAAGGTCCGAAGGACCCCGTCCACATAGGCAGGGTCCTTCGGAGGCTGCGAAAATTAGGAGGCCAGAAAAGTTCTCCTGTAGATTGGAACAGGTACGGCCTTCCACAGCTGTCAACGCCCCTCAATCGGTGTATGCACCGTCGCCTAGCAACCGTGTTGACCCACAAAGCAGGCAAAGAAAGGATGCCAAACTACTTACTATAGTTCTGTGTGCAAATTACATTTCTGAGGAGCTTCAGCAGCAGTACCTTCATTGCAGGTATCAGATTTATAGTACACAGAAAAGAGAGGTTCTAAATGAGGACGGCTGACATGAAAGAGTGTTTAAAAAATGAGTGCTGTTTATAATAGAGTATCAAAAGGCTTTTATCCACCGCTCTGAATAATTATCACAGCAAGTATTAGGAATTCAAACTTAGGAAGACAAGCATTTTTGTTTAAAAATATATATTTAACGGGTGTAAAATAAAATTTTTGAGAAAGCAACTTTCTGGTCTTCCCAAGGAAAGTAAAAGCCAAGTGGTTAGGGCAAAAAGCTTGGAATCCTGATGCACTGGGTCTCTGAGCAAAGACCCTTAACCCCCACACAATGACAGCCCACTGCTACCCAAGGGGATGGGTTAAATGCAGAACGAATTTCGTTGCTCTGTACTTGAGACGGTGTTATAATAAGAAAAAAGCTGGGAAAGTTATAACCAATGTATTTCGCAGAAATAAACACACACATAATTGTTCATGTAATAAATCCACATTATGATTGAGATCCAGACTCTGGATTTAAAAACAGACCAGAATAATTGTTTTACTCATATCACCGCTTATTTTGATGCAACAGTGTTTGATAATATGCAAAATGCCAAAATAGATGTCGTGATGCCTAATGTTACATTTATAAAACTAATAAATCAAGCCATTCTTAGATCTTGATGCAAATTCATGCAGAGTAGGGCAGAAACACGTTAGTTATTTGAGTAATTGTTTGGGGAAAAAAAGGTTTACTACTCAATACTATTCAATTTTAGTTTAACATCTTAATAAAACAACGTTAGTTTTATTTGAGCAAAATATTGGACTACTCCATCCATCGTGCGTTATTTCACTAAATAAAAAACAACATTGGTTTGAAAAAGTATCTCCTCTGGAATTTTTTTTGTCCAAATATGGCCTTTCAAAATACCAGAATTTGCATACAACCATACAGTTTGGTCTATCTTTACATCATTTTAAATTTTTGATGTTATGAGGGGGTACTTTACGACTTAAGTACACTTAGTTGTTTTTTTTTTAAGCTATATTTTACTTTTACTTGACTAAAAATATAATAAAGTAGTTTTACTCTTATTTGAGTTGGATTTTTAGCTTTAGAACTAGAGATAAACTCTGCCAACCGGATCCAGTAACGGACCCTCCCCCCTGAGGCATCTTTAAATCAGTAAGCTAGCAAGCTAGCAACTGCCGGTTCGCTTATAACTATAAAATAATACAAAGTTAAAGCCAAAACGTGTACTTTTAAATTTACATAAAAATACTTGTCTAATTTCTTCTTGAACAACAGTGTCACACATCACTCCTGACTCTTTAAATGGCCGTGTCGGTAGCTGGCCAGCCGTTAGCCGCAAAGCTAACATCAGCTGACAGATACCGACACATCATCAAGTTACCCCGGATGGCAGCTTCCATTAGCATGGTTTTTACATAGCAAACCTTCTCCACTCACCTGTGTGGGCATACGAAACGGGCACCTTCCATATGCTGAAGTGAGCCGAAACGGACGCGAAGTATTTTCCGAAAGCTAAAGGCAGGATGTACCATCGGTAGTACCTGCTCGGCAGTTCTGTTTTGGGGACTCCCCATGCCCGCAGCAGCGGCGGGAGGAAGACAACAACGGAGATGATGTGAAAGAGAGAAACCGTTACGGGATACGGAAATCCGTTGAGGATTATTTTGTTGATGATGTTTCCTCCAGAACTGACTGTGTACCAGAACGCACACAGCACAGCTATCCGGATCCCTTCCTTGACCGGGGTCCGCTCCACCGCAGCCATCTTTCTGCGCGGAGTGACGAGTCACCACCGCTGTGAATGGTTGGAACGAAGGGGCGGGGCCATTGATGAACCGGGAGCTTTGCTTCCGGTCACGGATTTCAAAATAAAACAACACGAAAATAAACACGCGCGTGTAAATAAATTGGTGCTTCTCAGAGTAAGATTACTAGATACAGAATCACGGATTAATTATACGCCGAGTGAAATATTACAAATGTCAATTTCAGTTAATTCTGGATGATCATAGTTCCAGAGGCGTAGCCAGAAAATTTTTATAAGGGTGGCCAGGCAATAACCACTGTACACTGAGGGGCGGCCAAAAGTAGATAGGCACCAAGACCTCAGGGTCAATCTACACTGTTCCAACAGGAAAATTAATGAGCAAAACATCCATATTTTCTTAATAAAGACAAACTATACTTTCCCACAGCCTTTTCTTACTATTAGACGAATATATTCAAACATCCGTGATTTCTAGATAAAAGGTATAATGGGTAGAATTCTTTTCAGGTTGAGTGTTGGGCAAACATCTTTTCCATCGTCATTACTTACCTACTTATATCAGTAATCATTCTGCATAAAATTGATATTTACAAGTACTAATATCTACATAAATGTATTATTTAATCATTTTATTGAAATTTTTATTTATCTATGATTTCACAGAAGACTCATAGATGACTTGCAGACACATCATTTTCTATTTACCCCATAAAACACAAAATCTATTTCTGCTTGAATTCTGTATTTATCATCTTTATTGTTAGTATATCAATGTGCATAACTAACCATAGTGGTTTTGTTGTCAAGTAATTGTTAATATATGAAAAATGAAAATGTTTTGAATATTCCACTTGAGAGTATTACTGTTGCCACCATCTGTATTAGAGGGAAATAAATGAAAGGGGTGGCCGATGATTGGCTAAGGGTGGCCGTGGCCACCCCTGCCCCCCTATGTAGCTCCGCCCTTGCAGAGTTCACGCCTTAGCATAATGAACAAACTGGCTGCTCTTTACTCCAAAGGGAATGGCAAAGAACAATGGTGAATATGTTACGGGTGATGTTTGGTTTATTGAATTGTTGCAAATTATTTATTGAATTTGTGCAAATTTCTTTAGCTGAAGCATGGCTCCCAATATCTATGCAGTGCGGGGACTTCAAACCTGATATCTGTGAGGATGGTACTGCTGCTGAAGCTCCTCATAAAGGAAATTAGCACATAGAACAGTAGTAAGCAGCTCAGCACCCATTCTTTGCCTGCTTTGCGGGCAGTAAATGATGACTCCTGTTAATTTGTCATTAATGAGTTTTTAAATTAAAGACTTCAGTATGTTTAAGAAATGAACACAATCCTGTTTCGAGATACAAATACAAACAAATGTAGAAAAACATGTATAGAAACTTGCAGTACAAAATGAAAGCTTAATGAAGCAAAGCTCCAACAGACCAAAAATATTTAATAAAAAAACATATTTCAACATGTGAACTTCAGATTTGATCAAATGAGTTAATGAACACTTCACCGTGTTTTAGTCTAGACATACATAAGGCAATATATTCAGTCTGCTCTCATCTCCATCTGGATCTAAAGAGATGCACTCTGTCCAGTCGTACCAGTTACCCTTGGTGTCGTAGCAGCCGTTAACTCCGGACCAACGCTGCCTCTGTAATCGGTTCAAGTCGTCTTTGTTGATTTCTCTGCTTATTCCAGGCAAGTCTTTGGCAGGATAGTCTGATGCTAGAATGTGAGTTTCTGTGGCCATGCTTTTCCGATGATCCACTCTCTTACAAACCTCAGTCGTAAAGGAGTGGGCACCAGGTGCGTGGACACCAGAGGAGGACAGGATATTGCTCTTTTGGGTGAGGTGTGAGTGGAATATTTCACTCCTTGACACCTCTTTCCAGTCCGCCTGCTGAAATGGACTCAGAGCAACAGGTGGATTTGGCTTCAACTGTTCTGATGATTGTAGTTCAGAGCCTTCCTTTTTTCCCAAAGTCTCCTTAAAGCAGGTGTGTTTAATTTGTCCTGTTAATGGATCAAATGTCAGTCTTCTGTCTTTTTTCCTTGCTGGTCCACTACAGTCTTCTGTAATTTGTCTATCTAGGTTTACGGCATATTCTTTAGCCCTGTATTTTTGTCGTTTCTTTTTCCAGGCGTCATTTATAGCATCATCTTCATCCAAACCGACAGACCCACACCCAGATTTAGGGCCTGATGAATTGGAAGTCCTGCTTCCAGCTAACAAATTTACCCCCCTTGATTGCTCTGTCTGAACCCTGAACGACTGAGTAGAATCACCCAGTCCAGAGACATCCTCAGCCCCATTATTCACACCTGCACTATTCTGTGCTTTAGGATAATTTTTTTTAAATTCAGCTTCTTGCTTTAGATTCTGAGGACGCTGCAGCGGCAGTAAATTGGAACTCCTGGGCTGATGCTGCCCCCCAGGGGCGGGTTTATTGCATCTAACTTGCTGGTGCATAAGAGTGCTGGGAGGCTTACTGTATAAAGAGGCGCTGGGATGAGGTTTGACAGCATGAACAGGGACTTTATTGGGTTTGTTATTGTCTAAATGTTTAGTCAATTGGTGTTGTTGAATATTTGCAGCAGTTTTAAAACATCTGTTCAATCCGTTGGGTGACAGCTGTATTGTCGGTTGGGTGGATTCAACATGAGTGATTTTGGGCTTCTTTGTAGGTAAGAGTTGATCCCCTTTCTTGTCGCACCTTCGTTTCCTGTTGCTTATCTGATCAAGCGTCGGAGAGCAGTTGTTGAAGTCACCTCGGGCCTTTAACTTTGGCCCAGTTTTACACAAAGCTGGGGGGGATGCTGAGGGGGTGGAGCAGGGATGAGCGCTACCGTTGAAAGACCACGATGCATCAGTGAGTCCCTGGCGCAGCGAGCCCCCCTGCCCCGGCTCTATTAGTTTCTGCCAGTTCCGGAGGAGCTTCTTGGCTCTTTTTGCAAGGTCCTCGTTCTTGGTCTGTTTACGGATGTCGTTAATCAGCTTCCCGAGGCGGGTTTCCTTTAAACAAAACATCATGGATATTATCAATAACACACGTTATTAGACATAAAAAGTTATGTTTATTTTAAACGTACCTCCAGAACCTCTTTGCTCACAGGGTATCTCTCCAAACAGGAGATCACTTCCACGACCACCTTCATGTTGCATATCTGCTCAGGAGATAAAGGTTTGCATAAAAAAAACTACCAAAATGGGTCATAAAACAGTATCTATGTGGAGTTTCTTATAAAAAGTTTTCTTATTCTTCAATCAGAGTCGTCATTTTCAGACTCTATGCTTACAGCAATATTTATCAGTCAGCCTTGATTTTATAAAAGGTATTACAAAATTTCATTTTGGTGTGATGAATCTATGAGTTTTGCTCTATGTAATTAAAAGAGAGAAAGAAATTAACTTTTCAATAATATTCCTTATTATTAAGATGCATTCATTATTTTTTTTTTCAATCTGCATTGCAATCTATTCTTATGTTTTTATTTCATTTGTTAATAGATGCTTCTTTTTGTTTAATTTGTGTAACATTTGTTATCATTTTGTCATTTTAAGCATGTAAATGTAAATGGAGGAAAGGAAAGCCATATTTGCTGCCCCCAAAATAGGCAGCATATATTGAGGATCAGTTAGAATCATGTCAGAATAATTAGCATCGGCCTTAAAAAGCCTCTATCAGTTAATATCTAGTTCATTTCCCGGTCACTGGCACAGCAGCAACCACAAGAGTTTTAGGATCTAATTTAAAACCTAACTCTTCCCTCTGCCTGTGAGAAAGGATTTGCATTTTCTTTTTGGTCTTGGTCATATTGAGCCTGAAACCAGTATCGGTACATACTTTCAAAAAATGCAGGTGTAGCTTTGAGAGTCTATGCAAATGATTACTTTTGTTAAGTTGCTCATTTTTTCCCAGAATAAATCATTGACCTATTACTGTAGCTATTTTCAATAAATTAGAGTATCATCAAAATCTATTTATTGAAATCAGGCAGAAAACATTAAACTTGTATAATTGAATCCCAAATTCAGCTCCATGTGAGACCATTGAAAATGTATAAATGAAAATCTTGTTAAAAGATACTTAATCATAGAGAAGACTGCTGAGTTGGTGTTTGTTGAAAATCAGCACAGACTGATGCCCTCCACAAGGCGGGTTGCAGAGCAAACATATTATCAGAGAAGGTTGATGTTCAGATGGCAGCCTCTGAGCATATTAGAAGGACAGTTGAGTGGAAGAAAAAAAAATGTTTAGAAAAAGTGCCAATGGATCAAAAATAAAGGGAATGGACTGCTACTTAGCTGTTCAAGGCTTTAAGTTCAAATCAAAGTAAATGTTGCATTAGTTTTGAAACTATGGTCCACACGCTGCGCGTAAATTCCACAGTGATTGATGTCAGGGGGGAAATAAATCAGTGTGTTCATCAGAGAATGTACTAATATCTCCACCTTTACTCTGTTAGTGCAAAAATATTAGTCACTGATCATCATAATCTTACATTTTATCACACAGGGATCTTTTCAGAAAAGGAGCCATACTAGAAGATAGGCAGTATATTCTATGAAATGTTCATTAGGAATTAAAATACAGCAAAAACCACTGAAGTATTTCCCTCTTGTCAA